GGCGAGGAGCGGCGGCGGAGGAGAGAGGACGGGGGGAGGGGTCGAGAAGCTGTGGGGACCGCCATTGCGTCCGATTTCAGAGGGGTTGAGGGATCGAGAGGGGGTTCTTTCTCTAGGGTTTTGTCGATCGAGGTCTTGAACGCTATCTCGCGAGATCTTAAGACTGGCATTTTTTTAGAGAGAGAAAGAGGGCGGAGATGAATAAAAGACGAAGGGTTTTGAGAGAGAGAGAGGGGGCGGCTATTAACCCTCGTTTCCCGCGCAAAGTTGGAGAGGGGTTGGGGTGCTATGCTCGGCTGACTCGCGGAACAATTTCAATAAGAGCCGCTACGCCAGCATCTGCGTCACGCGTGGCAAAATTCTATTGGGACGCGTTGCTTGACAGGGTAAGGAAAACTGTTTCGCGGATATATGGAAGCGTGAGGATGTCGTGGCCAATGGCCGAGGAGATATCTGCCGTTGACGGAGCGTTGGAACTCGGAAGGTTGGTGGGGTCGGGAGAGACATCAGCCGTGTAGGTCAAACGGGCGACAGCATTGTGGCCGCCAGTGATTTTCCGAAACGTGCTCTTGAACGGTTGGCTTCTCAAATAGGATTTATGCGTTGCTTGTAAAAATATAATATGATTATAAAAAAATATATAGCCGATAAAATATGATTACATATATAAGTATGTAGTAAAATATTCATATTCATGCTCAAAATATTCTAATATATATACATTAGTTATATTATTGTAATAGATTTAATTATTAAATTAACGCATTTGAAAGTTAATTTTGATGATCAATACATTTGATTTTAGCGTTTTGAATATAACAGAATATATTAATAAACTCTCTTGTATCATATAAATTATATTTTTTAAATATAATTGCTGCCAAGCAAGTGAAGGTTCATAAATACAAGGTAGGGGAAGGTATAGGGTATTTGAGTGCTAATTAGCCGTTAAAAGTTTTGACTTTTGGGGTGTTATTTGAGATGTTACATGAGAAATTAAAGTTTTGAGGTTTTAGTGGGATAACAGTTGAGGAGGGCTTAGTGGAAATGTCCCAACGTTTTCGGGGTTTTGTGAAATTTACACTAAGTATAACTTTATTACATATCTCATCTTTCTGCCTATAGAAACTGCTTTCGGAAGTTTTCTCAAATGCTGAATACAAAAGCTAGCTCGTATCATCACAGTGTAGACTTTGGATAAATTCACAACAAAACGAATTGAATTGCTCAGGTAGGCTTTTCTGAAGAGCTGAAACCAGAAGAACTAAAACCATTCAAGAAGTTACACTGACAAATGTGTCGTGTCCTGTACTCTTTGAACCACATGCCAAGAGTTTGAAAATATTCCAACATGAAGAATGAAATTATATGATGTTTCCAACTTTTAAATGCATTTGCAATTCCAGATAATGCTAATCAAACACAAGAAATTGATTGAAGAAGGGCATCAAATGCTGCCAAATTTTAATTCCTGAACAACGAAAAAGCAACATTTGATGCAGTTACACAAAGATAGCATCACAATATAGAATCTTAAAAAACCAACAATCAAAACGAATTGAATTGCGAAGTCAACACTTCCATTGAATAACTCACACAACCAAATACTTGGTGTTTTTTCCTACACCCTTTGCACCAAATCCCTCAGAGTCCAAAAACAACACAAACCACCACACTCAAAACTCCGGCCACAACCGAAACCCACACTCCTCCCTGCATCTGACCACCACTTGCACCGCTACACTCGTCGTTCGCACCACTGTAACACCCAGGCCTAACCACCTTCGGCGTCCCATCTGCAAACACAAAACTCGCATTCTTCTTCCCACCACTAAACAACACCGACCAAAAGTACGGCGCTCCTCCATCCGTTCCCCTGACTGCCGCCCCTACCTCAGTGTGGTTCTTATCATAGAGTATTTGCAAGCTTCGATCATTTCTGATTAGTAAATCGAAGGCCTCATTAGGTTGAACGTACTTAGACTGGCAGACAAGGAGGCGGCCAGTGATAGGGGAGAGGGACTTGGCATCAACGCCGCAGTTGGGGGCGAAGGTGTTGGTAAAATCAGAGTCAGGAGGTTTCATGTTGTCACCGACTTTGTCACATTGGCCGCTATAGGCTTTGATGTACTCGAGGGCAAGGCAGCCAAGGCCGGGGTTGGCGTAGAGGGAGGTGGATTTGTGGGCGGTTCGATTGGAGTTGAGGGCAGCTACTAGCTGATCCGCGGGATTGTCTTTTGAAAATTTTGAAAGATCAAAGATACAAAGTTAATCTCTCTTTATGGGCAAAGATAAAGTTCAAACAAGAGTATGCAAGTGCAATGCAATACTAGCGTGAGAAATTTATTAAAACAGAGTGCCATGTTCAGGTTTAAATCATTTCACAATATTGTCTAGTTTCCTTTACTTTTTTTTGTGTGGAATCAAAAGACAACATAAGCAATCACAATTGGTATTACATGAACAAGAAAGTATTTAGTAGACGTATTACCGTTGTCATCCTCTAATGCACTGTCAATGCAATGACCAAGTCTATTGGATACTTTCTCACCCGACACACATAGTACACAGATATCAAGCATCCATGGATGTGTGCATGCATGTTACATATAGGCAGAAAGTATCTAGTGGAACCGATCCAGAGTATTAAATCTGCACCAAATGGATATCAACCCTTAGATTGTTTGACTTCAAGATTTGTGCAAGGATCTAAGTGTTGATATCCATTTGCTGTACATTTAATGTTATGGATTGGGGTCCATGTGACACTTTCTCACGTGAAGGAGCTGTTTGAGCACATGAGCTCATATTTTAATATTTACCATCCAAATCTTCATATTTATCAACTTACTATCAAATTAATCCCAAATCTATTAGTTTACCCCTTGAATTTTGTTAAATTCCTAGCATAATTAGTGTAAAATTCCTATTCTACCCTCATTTTTACCTCATATTTGAATGGATCTGAAGCACACCTAACAATCTCCAGCTCAACTCAGATCTGGTTGATCTAATTCGACGTACTCGACTTAATGACTAATGGGGATAACATCTCAATTAGTACATTCTAAAGCGCATAGAATGAATGAATGTGATAATGTACATCCAGTGGAACTCCAACCTGTAGATGAACGAACAAGACTACATTTTCCTACATAATTTTCCTTCTTCCTGTATTATTTACTCATAGAGGGCTTATATATGCCCCTCTATACGA